AAATAAATAAATTTACACTAGAATATGTTTATTGATAATATCAAGTTTAAATTTAAACATATTTAAAATAACTGTATGACAAAATATTTTTTTTCAGGAACAAAGGAGAGATTGATATTGAACCATTTACAGAAGAGTTAGTTGAAAATAAATTTCAAGAAACATCTCAAAACAGCCAAAAACCGAGCTTATTTAACTATTTACCATTTTCAAATTACATAAACTTTGAAGGTAAAATATATTCCAAGTAAACATAAAATAAGAACTACACAATATACATATTTGTTGGTACTATGGAGGGGCGTCTCGATAYCTTGGATAAGGAAGGGGGGGTGGTAAATAATAAAAACTTTTTTATTTATATTATAAAGTATAAAAGATCATAAAACGATTGAGCCTATACCTTTGTAGCAACACGATTGAGCATAGAGTATTTTATTATAAATTGATATATATATGAATTAATATAAAATTGGTGTTAAGGAATAAACAATGAAGTTAATTYAGTTGAGTTTAAATATTATTTAAAATTATAAATAATATTTCTAGATATTTATTTAATACTCCTCATTTCTCTAAAAATCAAATGCATATAAATTAAAACTATTTTTATTTGAAAACAATTATTCAAATCAGTTAATGTATGTATTTAAAAATATATTGATACATTAAACATTGGCGAATAAAATTGCATCTATGGATAATATGGATTTTATACTATAACTTATTGAAATATTTGTAGTTTTTTATAACTTATGGTTTAATACAGTGGCTCCCAAGTAGGATGAAGCCTGGGATGAAAACTTAAATTGGTTTGGGGATCTTTTATTTTTGTAAATAGGTAAGTACTTACTTTTCAATTTTAATGACTAATGATTGTGACGACAAATTTATCGATTATCTTTTATGCGAAAATCGAATTTCAATGCCTAGTATTAAATATCTGGAATTTCAAACGACTATTAATTTATAATTTCATTAAAATAAAAAATAACATAATAATGAAAAATCCCCGCTGCCCTAACATCAACATTACCCCCGGGGGTGAAATTATTTTTTTTACATGTTAAATTAAACAAATTAAATATAGCTTTGCTTTATATATCACAATCAGGGTTCGGATTTTATAGCATTTGCTACTTATTATAGGATAGAGATAAAAATAGCAGAGTGGGCTGTAAATTTGTTTAATGCACCACGGACTCTAAATATRAAATTTTATTTTGCTATTTTTTGCATATTTGAAGAATTTTAGAATCTTAGTGCTACTTTTAAAGTTTTGGTGCCATGTTTTGCTAATATTCTTAATTCAACGCTTTATTTTATATTTTTCATWAATCTCGTGACAAATGGTAATCATTAATGCGAATCAATAAAAATTGAAATTTTATTCTTATTTACTCAGATAATTTTGAATAGTTACGTACAAGGTACAAACGATGTCATAATTCAAGGTATCAATAGTTAATCAGTACATACAAAGTTTTTTAAATTGTATACGGAGATTTTAGTTTTTTTTATAAATATATGATTTAATAAAGATATATGATAAATTGAATAAMATTTTGATTTGTATTTATTTTTATTTGTTGCTATTTTTGATTTTTTTAGGGACTATTTATAGAGCATAATTTACGGTTTTTTTGGGTCATATTATAGCGCATATTTTAGGATTTTTGATGCTATAAAATCCGAACCCTGATCATAATTATATAATTTGAAAGATTAATAATTTATCTATTATAATTTTGATTCTATATTGCTTTGAGCAGTTCAGTATAATATATTGTATGTATTTTCTAATTATTATTCTTATCTAAATTTTAATTCATAAAATTATTAAGAGGACGTTATACCCGCATGTGTTGTCTCCGTCTTACAAGTGCGTAACATTGCAAAAACTATTTCGCGCGGGAAAGAACCGAGAAAGCTACAGTTATAACTAAGAAATTAAATTTTCATCATATAAAATGGAGAATTTTGTCYATGCAATATCGTTTTTATTTTTCGATATCACTTAAACAAAAAAAATTTTTATTGTTTCATAATACATTAATTTTGTGTTTTTGAATTATGAATAACTTTTTTTGTAGTTTTGATATCGAAAAAATAAAAACGATATTGCACAGACAAAATTCTCCTTTTTACGTGGTGAAAATTTCGTTTCTTAGTTATATCTGTAACGTCCTCTTAAATCATATTTCAATTAAAATCCAAATAAGTTAAATTAAACTTAAATATGTAGAATAAATTTTCATATTTTAACATTGTGAAATCTAATAATGATAATCATTTTAATTTAAGTCTGAACACTAATTAATTTTTTTAATAATTAGATTTTTTTTTATAAAGTTAATTTTATTGCTCATCAATTGTTATCTTGATTTTCTATGTTATTTAAAATTTTATTGTATTCCATCTATTTTTGTTAAATTATTTGATACAAATATTTTAATTTGTTTTTTAAAATTAAGCCACGTATGTTTAAATATTAGTTCATTTCATATTTTACAATTTTAATTTCTGTGACAAAAAAACAGTGACAGCTTATATTATAAATAATCTTTATTAGTAAATAAATATAGGTACTATAGAAATTAAATATTTAGGATATTACCACTGGGTATCCTCCCTAATCACACGATTCATATTACTTACTTATCTGTCACTTATCAAACATATTCATTGTACAAAGATTATGTATAGATTGAAGATTTAATTCAATAAAAAAAAGATTTAAAAAAATTTATGATCTTAAGATTTATCACACTTTAGACTTCCAGTAACTGTGCATATTATACACCATGAGTTTTATTAATTAATATCTTCTTAAAATAAAATAAGTTAGATTATTATTAGTAAGTTTAAAACTTTTAGTTTTAAATGGTAAATGTTAAAATAAAATAATGATATATTTCAAACCTTTTATAAACTTACTGCCTCCAAAACTAGTAAATATAGATATAATCTAGTTTTTACAATTTAAAAAGAAATTCAATATGATTAGATCTTAATTTAGAAGTTCTCAACTTTTCATAGTACAACCGACAACCCATATTAGAAAATATTTAAATATGACAATTGCCAAATGATATTGTAATTAGTATCTAATAATAACATTGTATATTTTATAAAAAACGTATAATTATTTCAATTTCATTTTTTTGACCAAATTATTAAATATTAATTTTATTTCACAATCATCATCATAACAAATATTAATTAAAGGATATTACAAAAAGTATACTAAAATAWGTTGTAGCACATATACATACAAAATATATTATTTTCTAATCATCTAAATATTTCTTTAACTTTTTTATCCGTAGAAACCCTACTTTAAAAWTTTTTAATCAATAGTTTTTTTTAATTTAGTTTTTCAACAATAAGTTATTACAGCTTAACAATATTGTCTAATGTGTCATTATTAAATGTTAAATATTATTTATCGTCATTATTTAATATACAAACATTTTTCCCCCACTAGTTGCTACTAGTTAGACTTTTAAAAGTAATTTTCTTAAAAATTAAAAAAAAAAAAAAAAAATACTGAAGTTTAGCATAACCTTGAAGTGATCTCTTTGGAACACCAAGGTTCACACATTTTAAGAGATGCTGATCTGATATATGGTTAATATTAAATA